TCCATAGTGCCAGGAATCATTTTTTTTCCCTTGGCAGCTGGCAATTCAGGCTAAAGCTTAAGGTCAAAGGGAATCTTACATTTCTGTTTGAAAGCCCAAGAACATGGGAAGATGAAGCCTAGGAATCCTTTGGTGAGGGAAAGTGGTGGAGGGGGAAGGCGGGGTGTCAATGTCTAAATGGTCCTTATTGCCTGAGCTCAGCTCTTTGCCTGCTATACTTACAGCAATGGTGATTTGATTTTAATTCTTGTTTCAGTTACAGTCCAACTTCTTACTGAGCAACTTGCACTTTGGACCCAGTTTTGTATCAGAAACTGGGACTGAGTTGGGGGTCAGGGCTGGAATTGACAGTCATTGGGTCTGATGGAATAACCTTTAAGTGAGACCAATGATTTAGAAAGCTTCAGGAGAGTAGAAAGGAGTAGGTGTTAGAACTTTAGTTCTGTCTTGTGTCTTGAAGAGATCTTAAGGTTTTAGTAGGATGAAAGCCTAATATGAATCAACAGCGGGATCAGGCGGTCAAGAAAAGTGAACGTAACTTTAGGCTGCATTAAAAGAAACAGTCCAAGCTTAGATCAGGGTAGTATATTGGTTATACCATAAGTACTATATTCAGTTCCTGTTACCATGCTTTATGAAGGGCTGGGGGCCATCCAGGGGAGGGCAACCAGGATGGGGAAGGGCCTCAAGGTTATGCCTTATAAGGATCAGTTGAATCTATGGTGGATGCTTAGTCTAGGGCAGAGAAAATTTAGGAGTGAAAGAGGTGAGGCAGTGAGGGATTAGAATTATTCTGCTTACTCTGCAGAGCTAGGAACAATGGGTAGAGATGGCAAAGAGGCAATTTTTAAAAGAATTTCCTGACAAAAGATTCTGCAAAGTATAACTGGCCATGTCAGGTGATAGTGGACTCATCTTCACTTACAATCTTCAAGACAAAACTAGATAACCACTTGTCACCTATATTATTCAAAGGGATTCTTGTTTAGGAATGGATTTCTTAGATAGCTGCTGAGGTCTCTTCCAACTCTGAGATTCTGAGGAATGTTCACTTGACCTGATGAGCTGTGTCTTGTGGACTTGGCCCTGAATACATAACATTGAAACAGACACAATTTAAAGCCATCTTAACTATCTAAACAGGACCCATGGGAGGTGGCATTGTATAGTGGAGAGATCACTGCATTTGGAGTCAGAAGACCTCGCTCTGCTATGGCCTCAGTTTCTTCTGCAAAATGAGACAAGTTGAGTAGATAACATATATGGTCATAACTAGCTTTGAATCTACAATTTTATATAATTTCCTTGAAAAAATGTCTATGAATTTTGTACAAGGCTACATGGCTTCCATGTGGAAAACTATATGAACCAAAAAATTTTTTTTTTAAATCACCTATCTACATAGCATTTAATGAAATGAAATGGGTAGGTGACCTCTTTTATTGCCAACATGATACACTGATGTATTATATTCAGGAGAGAAAAAAAATGTTAGAAACATCTTTTGCATGGATATTTTCACCAAAGAGGTTTGTGTATATGTGTGTAAATTATCTGGATAACTATATTATTTATTTAATATTTTATGTACTCAGTTCTCCCATCTGCAAAATGAGTGTAATGACGCCTGCCACTGACTATAGTGAAATATAGTGAGAAATAATGAGATAATGTCTGCAAAAACACTTTCAGCAATTCAGAATAAACCATCAGAGATGACAAGACTTGTTATGCTGCTATTTTTGTAGATGTGTATATATATTTTATCACTTTCCTAATAGCAAAAAAAAAGAATGATAACCACTGGGTTAAATTTAAAGAGGAAAAGTTACCTACTATTAATACGTTGGGGGCACCAATGAGGACTGTGTCTGTTTCACATTAGCTTTTTAACAGGAGTTCCCAGTCTTGCAAGGTATTGGTGGTGTCCACACCACTATTAGACAACACTGTTATATCTTGCATGAAAGTTACCCTGTTTCAGTGGTGCTGATTTCAGTAACTCATCAAAAACTTTACTATGAATGACCTTACAATAAAGGATAACCTCTATATGGATATATGTTGCTCCTTTTTTCCTTTTATAAAATATTCTAAACATAAAAAAAATTAGAGGGAGAAAAAAAAACAAATTCTGCCAGTTTAAAGCAAAAAGACCATCATCCATCAAGCAGCAAAATAAAAAAAATGATTTAAAGTAATCATTTGAATTGTGTGATTTAAAACAACAATAATAACAATAATTTTATTATTATCATGGATTTTTGGAAATGTTCTTTATACAAAGTTAAAGCAATATCTGAAACTAGCCAGAAGTAAAGTGAGCGTAGTATTTCCTGAAATTGGCATGCAAAGGCAAAAAAGGGTTTTGCTCATTTCTTTTCAGATTCATTTTTTTTCAAACATATATGGAGAACATGTACAAGCATCATAAAACTTCAGGAAACAAAGTAGTATTTGAGATGAAGAACTCTTTCATGCATTGCATTTCACAAATGTTTCTATAAGTTTCTCTGCAAAGACTTACATTCTTGCATATTTAAAAAAAATTACAATATGAATATCAATGAAAGCACTTCTGACACATCTTTGGCCACTCCAAATTTCACAGAAATATGTGGTTTATAATTAATCTCCCACAGTCAAAATGCACACGAAGCTTTCCTATACAAACGTGAGTGATTAATTCATCCAATAGGGGGCAACAGTACACAGCCCCAGCAACATTTTATGTTTCCTTAATTATTTAATATTCTTCCATAAATAAAAATCAAGAAATTGTACATGGCATATAGGAATGATGTGTTTTCTTGATTGGAAAATATCTAAATGATTTCTAAGTGAAGTATTTCTAAATGAGAGATTTTTTTCTATGATTAAATGAAACAGTTATTATGGACGGATGTTAAGTGTTAGTGTTAAAGGTGATAAAACGAATCACAAGTTATCTAAGTTCCATTGTTCAGCAGAGCTCTTGGGATTCATAGGCAATTGCAAGGTTTGAACTGGGTTTGATGAACTTTCCCACATTTTTGTGTTATTTTCTACCTGTTTTTCAGAATCACAGAATTTTAGAGTTAGAAGGAACCTTAGAGGTCATTTCGTCCAACCCACTTGTTTTCCAAATGAGAAACCTGAGAGGTGTGGCACAGAAGTGAGATGACTGGCTCCCGGTGACCCCAAGAATTAGTGGCAGAGCCAAGAACAAAACCCAGATTTGTCTCTCTTTCTGTTATACCATGCTGTTGCCCAAACTTATCATAGTCAGGGGACTGGTTGTGGAAATCTCATCAACCTAACATTAGGAGATGCCTGCGGAAATTCCGAAATAGCTGATTATCTCAGAGAACCTTGTGCTAAGCCTAACTTGGAATAATGCGATTGAATTACATTAGCCATAGTGACTAATAATTTTGTATATAGAAATACAAATGTTATATAAATGTACCAGAATATAATCAAATTGAGCTTTAATTGCCATGGTACTAGTGAAGCCTTAACAGTAGTAGTGATTTCCAACATGGGAAAGTGCATTTTGTGGGAGCATGATTTCTAGTTTTAAAAAAAATACAAAACTCTAAACCAAGAAAGCAGAGCACTATGAATCCTTTCACTTGCTTAATTCATATACTTATTACAACTTTAAAAATGTTTTTTAAAAGATTAATAAACACATGCCAGAGTATACACATAATAACAAAATGTCAGGAAAGACTATTAAATAAAACTTCTTAGACTGACATGCTTACCATACATATAAGGAGCTGAAAAAAAATTCTTAAAAAGATTAGCCACTCTAATATGTCATTTAAAATGTTTGACTTCATTGGTTTTTTATAGTAAATAAACTAGCTTAAATTTATTTGTTTCCTTTAACAAGATTAAATAATGTTGAAATACTAACACCATCACTATCACCCCCATCCCCACCTGAAAAAACATAATTAAAAAAAAACAACCTCAATATACTTTCTGCTCCCCAGGGCCTAAGCCATTCCCTGGAAATAGTTATACTATGATATAGAAACAACAGGTCAATTTGGCCTATGGTGTGAAAAAAAAAAACCCCAGCTAATTAAGTAAAAGAAAAATCCATCAAACTGATTGTTTGGTATTATATAAACTAAACATTCATTAACTGATTTCTACCCATAGTTGGTGCCATACACTATACTATATAAAGACAACAGCATGTAACAGAATGAGAGTTGAACCAGGAGTTGGAAAACTTGGGTTCCAATTCCGGGTCCACTGCTGACTTAGAATGTGTCCTTTGGAAGCCTCATTTACCTTATCTGAGAAATGAGAGGCTAGAACTAGATGATTTACCAGTAGAATCCTACAGTTAATGGAAATGACCCTCGAGTAGCCAGAAAGAGTCAATACGCTGAAGCATCTCACATGTTACCAGGGAGTGACTTGGCACTAAGCAAAATTAAGGTCTTTGTAAATTTGATATTGATGGAGATGGAGAAAGGTATAGACAAGGACAATATGATTGGAAGATTTTCCTTAAATTACATTGCCTGTCTTTTGAATATACTCTCTAGGAAAAGACTGAGGTTAGTATTCCATATTTGTTATACATATATATGTATATACACATATACATATTATATATATACACACACAGAAGACATTAATAATAAATCTTGGGTTCATTTGGAAATGTTCCATATTAAAAGGATATGTTCATATTAGCAATATTCAGTCTGTAAATACAGAAAAACAGGAGATCTGGTTGGTTTTTTTTATCATTTATCTTAAGGATCAAATCTCGTACTTAATTATCTAAACTATTTGGCTTTAGAATCATAACAGGTTTTGGATGAAATTCAAATTAACATAAATCCTTCTACATCCACGTTTCAGTCCGTGCTGTACCTTTAAAAGTAGAGGAGGCGTCACCAAATAGCTTAAAGAAATGAAAAAAAGAGAGTGAATTACCAGAAGCATATTAAAACTGGTGGCTTTTTTCTAAAATATTAAGTGGAACATACCTGTAGGAATAAATGCCGTGTGTTGCTGCAACTGCGCATGGGCGAGTGCCTGCTGACAGTGCAAGACGCTGGGATTAAAGACGGCGCTGGCACCGTTGCTTTTTTCAAGTGCTTGTCTCTTTGGTAAAGGGTGAAGAGCACCGGGAGGAAAGGCCTATAAATAAGGAATTTTGATAAGACTTGTAGAACTTAAAGTAAAAACATGCCCAGTCTACACAGAGATAAAGTATTGCAACATACTTTAAAAAATTGACAGCTAAAGAGATGCCTTTGCCATGCACCTTAATTCAAACAGCAGCGATGTACAATGAGTGAGGTTTTGTTATTGAGGGCAAAAGCATGATTTCATTAACCTAAGACTGTAGCACCACAACTATGGAAAAGGAAACTATCAAGCAACAAAAATGGCATCTGCTTTAAGAATGAGTTAAACTATTCTAAAGGAAAAAGGCACTTGTATTATTAATACCTAGTACTTTTTTTCCCTAACTACAAGAAAATATTTGGAGCTTAAAAGTTAATAAGGATTTTAATGAGAACTTTCTTTTACCAAATCATTGAAACTTGCTTCAAAACTTTTAGAAACAGTATTAAAACATGTTAGGATTAAATGATTCTCTTACATTTATTACATATGAAAAATGAGATGGCTAAACACTAAATTGGATATTTCCATAAATTAATAATAATGACTGTTTTCAACTGATGTTAAAACAAAAAGCAATACAAATCTCAGTTGGTTTTCTGAAAAGCTACATGCAAAGCGAAAGGTGAAAGGTCAAAGTACCAGGTCTACAGTTGCTTCGAGAGGTCGCTTCATTGCTTTGGCAGTCGACTGAGTCTTTTAATAACAGGCAGCGAGCACATGATGGCAGTGGGCCAATGGGATTCAAGCGAATTAACATACAGGTAAACAGCAAGCAGAGGTGCATCATGGGAACGGCATTGCATTGTGGATAGGTGAGAAGGAAAAAAATATTCTGAATGCAATATACAACATACAAAACACTAGGCATGCACAACAACAAAAATGTTCTCTAAAGAAATGAATATTACACCTTGAATTAGTATCAAAGCAAAAATGCATCTACTATACCTTAGTTAAAAGCATATAAGAGAGTAAGATATAGATGTTTGAAATTCAGGAAAGTTAATTAAAATAGCAGCTTGCATACACACCATAAGCATTTTTATATTGCTTCACAGAAATGCAAAAATCTTAGAGATTACATGGGGTTGGTTTAGAAGAACTTCTGATAAGTTAGTTGTCAAGTCAAAAATAATCTAATAATTGTTGTTTGCAGCCCAAGTTGGATAATATTACATTTCATACCAAATCTACCGTAGCAAAGTGAAGTGACAAACTGGGACAAAAAAATTCAGGCAAAAAAAAAATAACAAACACCAAATAATTTAGGCAAAAGTGTTTGGGACATTCTTTTTCTTTGGCTGAATTATGTGGATAATTGCCTCAGTTCTCTATTTTACTTTGCCATTGTGGACCTGGCAGTGTGTAGTACCTTTCTGATTTTAGCAAGTTTTGGAATTAAAGTTTGTTTCTCATTTTTCCCAATTTCACACTAAAATTTTATGTCTGTTGACTAACTTATCATCCATTCGATATTATCTACTACATTTGGAATTGTGGCTTAGGTGTTTTTCACTTACCGCAATATACTGAGAAAATGACACTTTTTATTTTAGCAATATAAATTTTTCTGAGCTATCATACTCATCTATATTCAGTAAATTTATATGTATACTTAGAAAGATCAGTGACTGAGTTAGTAAGAAAGAGCATGGAACTGATGGTTAGAAAAGGAATAACAGCTAAAAATAGCAAACTTGTTAAAATGCTTAAACCAAATAACATATTTAGCACATAACCATACTTTGTTGCCAATATTTGCATTTAAGGGGCTGAAATGAAAACAAAGGTTGATCTGATTAGATCACAACAGAAAATTTTGCTAATATTTTCTAGTTTTTACAAAGATCCATAGTAGCATAATAGCATTCTGTGAAAATACATAGGATCGAAGGAATTGCCATAAATGAAACAAAAAAAAAAAATCCTTTTTTTTGTGCAGCACAATAGGTAAGCCCCTCATGTTTAGTTAAGGAATTCATATTTATGTTGGATTTATTCTAAACTCCAGATGTGGAAGAGCAGACAGAAAATAAATAAAATATGAAAAAGCAGTCAGACAGTAACACCGAATTGAGACATATGATGGGCCACATTTTCCTCCATAAATAAAGTGTCACTCACCAACATTTGAAAATTCTGATTAAAAAATATGGAATAGGGAGAGAAAGAGAGAGAGAAAAGAGCTGAGATGGTCAAAGCAGGGAAGCCCCCAAGGAAATTAGGAGACAGGGAATGTTTGATGAAGAAAAAGATATTCAGGATGACTGAGTGCTAACAAGAAGACCTGGGAAGAAGAATGGATATAGAAGAAGTTCAAATGAGAGATGAAAAAAAAAAGGGAATCTGGGTAGAAGGTATACATTAGAATCAATGGCTGCCACTATTGATGAACCATGGCTTCTGCTTTAAGAAATGAACACTGGCTACAAGGGTGAATTCCTTCCAGAGAAGTTAGTACATTGTCATATTGCTTCTGTCTCGTTTGTTTAAACACTGAGGCTTATTTCTCTCTTAACAGAATGACATTAAAAAAAAAAAAGTTTAATCAATGATAATTACAGAAGTACACATCCTTTTTTTCTAAAGGGAACTAAAATGAACTTGATAATCTAATGCACCTAAGCCTCAATTATCTTTGTATTTCAAGTAACATCATATTCTCCAAGTTCATTTTTGTCATGTACTAGAGCGTAACTTAAGTTCTGATTATTTTACTCTTATTTTAGCACCAAAGTACCAGCGGGCTCAATAAAGCCTATGGGAACTACTGGTGTCCTTGGTAGACCTATCATACAGGCAAGGAATTAAAAAAATAAAAACCAGGGAGAAGAAAAGAAGAAACAAAGGAAGAAAGAAAACAAAAAGAAAGAAGTATGTAGAGTTGGAAATGATGGTATGCCACACCATAATTGCCTATTCAATGGCCTTAGAATCATCATTTGCCTATTTTTTGGACTATTGTGAGTCTTCTAGTAGTTCTAATTTTCTATGCAGCAAAATTAACCCCTTCACTCAGCCTCAGGGTTCCTAAAAGAGACTTTTCTAGAATGAAGTCCCCCGTTGTTAAAATTCTTAGATGCTACCCTCTCCCTCAACCCTGAACTCCACGAAACCTTCCCCTGAAAGTTGTCTTTCCTTTCTTATTCCAACTCTGTAAATGATCTCTACTTTCTCAAATATTTTATAGAACTTTGCATAGACTCCTTCTTTGTACTTATCACATTATAGTGTGCGTTTTAGGTATGTGTTTCCATCTAATCCTCCTTATTAGATACTATACTCCTTGAAGGTTGGTGCTGGGCCATGTGACTTATTTGGTTTTTCCCCAGGGCCTAGCACATAAGTAGTACTTAATAAATGAGTTGAATTATTCTGAATTATCTAGCCTTTTTTCATTGTTTCTGCCCAGACAAACTTTTCTTGCCATGTTGAACCATCCTATGTTGTCCACTAAGCCTTCCCTGTACAACTGTTAGTGAGACAGTGAATTCCTCAGCCCCATTTTGGGTTCTCTTAAGCATGCCACTCAACCGTGCCACCTTCTGCTATCTGACCTAGATTGAATTGGTCCAGATCTTTGATTTTATTGGTGTTAAGAGATTTCTACTTTAGGGAACTCTCTATACCAATTCAGATAATCTGCAATCATTCTGCAATTTACAGTCTTAGAGAGCAGCCTGGGACAACTCAAGGTCAAGTGACTTGCCTATGATCAACCAGCTAGTATGTACCAAAGGCTTGAACCCAGGCCAGGCCCTCATTTGCTAAGCCTTCCTGCTTCTTATCACTGAAATATTTTCTGCTGCTTATAAAGGGTTTGAATAAGATTGTAATGCATAAGTCGCCCCAGAATTAGCTTTGCTGATAGAAAACTCAACTTAATTCTCTAAATTCATAGCATCATAGGGACCATGTTATCACAAACTCCAGCCAGACCTGACACATATTGCTGCTTTTCAAACTAATAAAGGCTTTGGCTAAAGGAATGTGCTGTCACTACAGTACTATTGTTTCTGAAAGGAATCTTTGCTGAGTTGTTAGAGACCTAATTGCACAAAGACCCAAAGGCTGCCTGTTTCTCTTTAGTCAGAGTTGTCAGTTACATCTGTTTTTATAATGCATTCCTTCTTCAAACAGCCAAAATAGTAGATGACCCCTCTAAAATAAGAGAAAAAAGAGATAAAGGAAGGCATCAGCTGAAGGAAAAGGCAATTTAAAATCCTTTCTTGGTCATGATTGATACTGGAAAGTTAAGGTTTTCCCACTTAATTTAATTGGGGTCAATTTTTTTTTCTGTACATAACCTAGAATCATAGGACTAGAAATGATCTTATGTGTCTAATTCATATAAAATGACATCCAAGTTATTCCAGTAAGACCCTATTTTAAATATCTTTGTATCTCCTTACCTTCTTTGGTAAAAACATTTCATTGTCTGAAATTCATTTGCATCTCAAACCTAACACCTGCCTATATCACTTTTGATATACATCAATGGAAGAGTGGGCCAGTTTGAGTTAGCTCCAGCACAACCCTGGACTTAAATCTATTAATATTTGCTATATTAGACATTTAAAAATCTTAGTGTCATTACGAAAAGCATTTTGACCTCTTAGATCTGCTGAAAGGGTCTTGGAGACTCCCACATATCTGTACTATACTTTGAGAACCAATGGATTACACAATTTCATTTATTCTGACCTTTCTTAGATCTAATTGTCCATGCCCTAAAATTTATCCTGTGCTTAGCTTTAGATCTCTCCAGTTTCTTCTCATGAATAGAATATGATAGGTTGCTAGTATAAAGTTTTGTTAGGATTCTGTGTTCAGAATTAGGGCTAAGGGCCAGGACAGGAAAACTGAAGGCCTATACAGGGTCTGACCAGGAGACAAAGGACAAGAGAACAAAGTTTGGAGGCCAAACAAGTCCTGGCAAGGTTGAAAAGAATGTCAGATTTCAACTTTGAAAAAAAAAAAAAGGTGGGAAAGTGGCCAACTGTACTCAGTTTCTACATGTTTTTCGTGAACAATTGAAATGTGTATAACAGATGCAAGGGTTTTAAAAAATGCTTATGACACTACATTTTCATCATGTCACTTTATTTTTAATATGTTAATAAAATTGATTTGAATGAAAAATCAGATAATTTTTGTATTATAATTACCCAGGAAAATTATCTCCTATTAACTTTCCAGATTAAAAAAAAAACTTTTATGGAGGGAAATGAATTATCTTTGATTGTCATAGTTCAAGAGGTACAAAAGGAGCAATAAAAATATAAGCACTATATCTCTGGCACTTAGCACAGTTCCTGGCCTTTGGTGGACACTGGATAATGCTTTGTTGAATAGATTTCCCCTTTTCTGGGCTAGAAATTTCAAATTCTTTTATAGTCATTTTTTGAGCTGAAAAAAACTTACATTTTAACTCCAAATGTCTGCACATTTGTTCCTTAGTTAATTTACTTCCCAGGCAGTAGTATATCTTACCTAGGTGACGGGATCATTGATATCATCTGGCTATATTAATCATAAAAGTCACAATTCACATTCATATTTTCATATCAAGAAATAGAAGAGTATGTCTCTAGTACACTGGCTGTGTTAGTGTTAGAACAGAACCATGTTGATTTACCCAACTGAATCCATGATGATTCTTGCAACTTGCAGTTGACTTCAGCTAAATAGACATGACAACTGCAGTATTTTACATATCCTTGTTAGAGAGGGTATGTGGCTTCTCTTTCAGTAAGACCATTTTGGGGGGTTGCTTTTAAGTAGACAGTGATAGTTCCCATAATATTGGGAAGAAATTATAAGAAACTATAGTAATTAGTGCTTCATTTACTGCAAAAACTTTCCTGGATCTATGTCGGTGATATGAACATATTCCCCACAGCTAGGTTGTGAACTGCTACCATCATGGCCTTGTCACCTGGGCATGTAAACTGAGCTCAGTGTTTGAAGCTCAGGAAGGTTTATGGAAACTTAAATTTATTAATACCATAGTTAGCTACATTATGGGCTGAATATAGTTTTGTGGGGTAGTCTGGGAACCTAGCCATCATTTTTCAATTTATTTCTATTGGAAAACATGTTAGGCATTCCAAAATAACTTTCTACATAATTTTAAGTGACTTTCCTTATCTCTAAATGAGAGAAAATAGTATTTATGCTATCTACCTCATAGAGTGTTTTCATAAGGAAAACACTATACATCTGTCAGTTATTAATATGCCTATTTGTAACCTAGAATTGCTTATGTATTGAACAAAAACATAATTAAAAGACATTTCTCACAAGATATTAAGAGGAAACTAAAGAATTTTTCACTTTGAAAAAATGTAGTAAGTATATAAAATGTTGCAAAATGTTATTTACTCTAAAGAAAAAGTCCTTTCATATGTGGAAATAATTAACTACTTAATAATTAACTAATTAAATTTGTTTATAAAGCTCTTTACAAAAGTTCCTTTTATAAAGCCAGTTCCAAAAGTATTAATATGACAAAAGAGAAACATTAAGTTTTTCTATATTATGAAATAATGTTATATTGTATTTTTTAACATGGCTCCATTGATACAGATGCATTTAGGAAGATATGAAGTTCAGAGGAAATGATGAGGGAGAGAGAAATGAGAATGAGGATGACATGAAAAATAGCAACCCTTTGAAAGAGGCCTGAAGGACAAAACAAGGACAAGAGATAGATAAATTACACCTCCATATCTTAATAAGTTTACCAAAAATCACAGAATTGTGCCATTTTGATGGGTTACTTTATTAAGTGCTGGTAGGTAATTAATATGAAATGTATTTAAAAGGGAAATAATTGCCTATTGTAGACCAGAATTCTTATACCAATGGAAATGAATTTGGAACTGCTATGCTCAAGCAGGTAAGAGCAGCAGAAATTTCAAGAAAAGGCCTTAAATGTCTGCCTTGTTTTGTCCAACTTTGTTTCTAACATTGCTACTCAAGGAAGCTCATTAACTTCAATTGCTTTTTGTTTCCCACTCTGAAGATATAAGGCCCAAACCCTTTACTTGTAATTAGCCAATGCTCTCAACACAGCATTTGTATTATCCCTCCCCAACACATTGCTTGATAATATTCTTGTATCCCATGTCCTCCATTCCCTGTTACCAGGAAACTAAACTGACACATTTAAATCTGGAGGTGAAGAAATAAAGTCCAAGAGGAGAGCAGGAAGTATTTAATAATTCTCTACACCCAAGGGGTTTATCTATTGTGCTGAAATAGCGAAGGAAGGGCAGACACTGAAGAAACTAATATAGTAGGGAAGAAATAATAGCAGCATTCCCAATTTCCTAGCTACCTCAAGGGCAATAGAAAGGGAATGTGGCCTATGGAAAATTCCTACTGTTAGGGGAACCACGGCTGGGTAAGAGGAAGGTGGTAAAAGGCAAAGCGGGAGAGATGCTCACTTACCATCACTGTCGCTGCTGCAGCGGCTGCCTGAGCAGCGACGGCAGCCTGGTTGGCTTGGTGCTGAGCAGCTTTGATTTTGGCCTGCAAGTGTGCAGGAGGGTGGAAATATTTGCATTTCTCCCTCATGCAACGACCCTTTATGTAATCCATACAAACGGTTACAGTGTTATCATTTGTATCAATCATTGTGCTGTCTGAAGGATGAGCAAAGCGGCAGTCAGTCTCTCCTCGGGCACAGTTTCCTCTCTGGAACTCCCTGCACACCTGAAAACATGTGGCAGAGAAGAGAAATTGAAGATGATGGACCACATGGGTGGAATGGCCAACATGTTCTTAAAGGATGGATGGTGTGGTTTTTCTCCTGTTAATGGTTGCTCCTTCCATTCCATTTATGAGAAAGCCTTATTTAACTAGAATTCAACTATCCAATCAACCCTCAATTAAACATAGTATTTTACTATGCTCTGCTTTTAGGATGAAGAGATAAATAACAAGAACATGGGCTGAGATCAGAGTCCTAGTAAAGAATTCACCTACAACCAGGTATGATCTCTTCTTTGCCTTCCCACATTTCCATGGTTTGCTCTGGGTTCCTACAAGCTTACATATAATAAAAAGGATCAGTGGAAGAGGGAATAAAGCTACTTTTTCCCTTACCAAGGTAAAAGTCACTCCTGCAATTATTAATAATAATAGATGTCTACAATTATGAGTATAATGAATTATCAGATCCTTAATCATCAGAGGTAGATTCAGTTATGCTCACTATAGTGTACTTGGTGAGACATGAAAGTGGATTAATATGTTTTAGAAATATTTCCAACAGGAAGCACTGAAATAAAAAGAGCTTTTCCCTAAACTCTCATCTCAAAATTGCAAGTAACCAGAACATGTCATCTCTAAAGCATTCTGGTTCAACACAATTTTACTATATAAAGCAAAATTTCTTTAGAATTAAGAAAAAAAATTCTCAGTAACTTGTTAGTAGTAACATCAGTAGCATAGAAAAAAGACTAATAAAATTTTAAATTATCTTTAGATTTCAATTCTAAAGGTTAAATGTTATTTTGTTAAAGTAGTGTTTTGTACCTTAATCACATTTGTTGGTGTATGAAAGCGTTTAACTGAGTTTAGTTCTTGGTATGAAATGCAAGCTTCCTAAAAATCAAACATCTGTCTGAAATTCAGAGTTTCATCTACAATGGGCTAACTGGTTTGAAGAGTAAATTGAACACATTATAAAAGTATCAGTAGGTCTTTCCTGCTAGGAATATTAGCTAACATTCTGTCTTCAGCTTGTAACACATGAAGGAAAAAATATTTTGATTTTCCCCTAAATTACATGTAAAGATTTTTTCATAGCTGGAAAGAACACATTCTTTAGTCATGTTTTGTACTGATTAAGTGTTTCTATTTAAGAGTATCAGGGGTGAATATACTTTACTGTTGTAGACTTTGTTCCTTACTTGAAATGAACTAAAACCTGCTTTGCCAAAAGCCATTTCAATTATTTTGTATTATGTTATTATTGTCTATTAGAAATTTATGGAAGGTCTGCTTATTCACATCACCTGGATTTGACTCAGCAGTTTTAATCTGCTTGTTATTGTACAATGCTCACCATCAATTGTCTTGTGAGGCCAGTAGGTGGAGCCCAAAACATTTTGCAGTTTTTGAAAGGCAATTATTTTTCGTTGTTGTTAGAATTGTTCACTGAAAAAGATGTGGGGCTTAAAAAAATTTTTTTCCCATTAGTCTTTCACAACTTTTCTTTGTAAACTTTTTTCAAAGGCAGTCCTATCTGTCCCATATTTTATTCTGCTCGTGAGGTCTAGCATATTTTATCTGCTTGATAAATATTGAAGATTGGAGTTGATGTTCAGGGTGGGAGATAATGATGTCAGGACAACATTTTCAAGCCCTTTGTTTCGTGTGTGAAGAAATTTTATGATATACAATGGGCGTTGATGTGTATGGGTAAGGTAAGTATATGCTTTGTTCTTAATACTATGAGTGAAAAAGAAGCATGGTTCCAATGTTTATTTAAATAGTGGCTGCCTGAAAGTCTAGATTCTAAAATACATCAACATTTCATTGCCACTAGAGTTTAGTGGGCAAATACTCGAACGTGTATTTAACTCAAACAAATACAAGTTGAAAGAACATATTCTCATGATTTAATACAAAGGACAGCATAATTTCAAAGCACCTTTACACAAGAGCATACAGAAACTAAAATTGGAAGTAGATTTAAGTGAATTCCTCAGTAAATCTACTGTAATATTTACATTTGATACTCACGACCAATTCTACAATAAGGAATGCAAAATATAAAATAAATGGATGAATTCTATAGCTTAGATTCAAATGGAAACCCGATAAACAAAGTGTTTGTTGGGGTTTCCTTGAGTTAGAACAACAGAATTATGCATTGACTGCTGAAATTATTTTAAAATCATATTTCACAATAGCCTTGCAGATTAGTTTTTAAAAATCTACTAGTCCACAGATATTTTTATTAAATTTCCAATTCACCTATTTAAAAATACTAAGCACAATACTGCTATGTATCCAATGACAGGAAACATATGTAAACTGAACAAAGGACTGTGGGTCTTGTTTTCATTATTATTAAAATTTTAACTCACAGTCCAATTCCTTTTAATACTTATATCTATAAACCAGTCTGCCTTTTTTGGGGGGGGCAGGTTGCTTCATTAGACCTGAATTATTATTCTTTATGCACTCACTAGTATAGAAATGCACTTCTAATCATGAACATTAAGGAACGTACCTCGAGTTTATCTGTCCTGAGGAGTTTCTGAGTAGCAGCTGAGCCAGGGACTGTAACAGGTGGACTTCCAGGAACAATAACAGGTGTGGTGGGTAGAATTTCAGTAGGGACTAGCCCAACTCCAGGGGTTACAGGTGTTAAGTAAGGAGCAAAACTAATTGCTGCATTTGTTCCTAGTGCTGGACCTACAGGAAACGTAGGCTGTGAAATGAAGACAACATATAAGAAAAGAAATTGATACCTTTTTGTACAAATTAAAAAAAAAACACCAAACTTCCATTTGAAAAAATTAGCAAATGAAAACCGAATACAATTTCATAAATCTACTGGATGAATATTTTCACTTCTCTTGTTTTAAGCAGGACTTAATAACAGCTTTAAAGGGCATAAAACAGTTCTGCTGAGGGGGTTGTTTGGGGAAGAATAAATCCAAGATAGCACCTGTGCAATTGACTCCTCCTGTAAAAAAAAAATGTCCCTTTAAAATAGCTTCAATGTATAAAAAGACACCTGAGAACAATCTGAAAATGCAACAATAGGGAGGAAATGGAGTTATTACTTATGCAAAGGAAGAAGAAAAAAGGTAAGTTTCATTGTAATTTCTCAGCATTTCAAATTGTTGAATGTTCAGTTACTTATAAGATGCTAGCCTATTGTACCCCTGCATGGAATTATAACAAAGAATTATAAATATATAATAGAATTACAGTTAGAAATTATCTGTCTATCCCCCCTCATTTTAGGGGTGAGACAACTGAGTCCTAGTGAGGTCATCTGTCCCAAAGCCCGAGTCCTAATCTACAAATACCCAACAAATGTTCAATGATTTCTGTCCATTGCCTTATAAGCATCCTGTTCCCCACCCCTGATCTAACATAATTTTATCTTTTCCAATCACAAAAGAGGATAACATGAAAACCTTGATCTTCATATAGCATGACTTTGAGTCTGCTCACCAGCTTACTTACTTTCTGTATTTATTTGTATATTATATATGTGCATGATATTAATGCAATAACAATTATTATATTTATTATTATATTTTATGTCACAACATAAATATTATATTTATTATTAATAATATAATAATAATGAATTTTATATGAATGTATTACATTAATGTTCTGTCCAAAATTGGGCACAAAGCTCCCTCTCCATTCCTTCGCACCCACCTCAAAGAAACCCTCTTTTCTTTCAAGTTGCCACTCAAGCATCACCTTCAATAAAAAAGCTTCACCCAAGCCTCCCACTGGTGCCCTCAGTCCCTATTTTGAATTTACTTATGTATGTACATATCTCTCCCTTAGAAATGTAAGGGCAGCTAGGTGGCATAGTGAATAGAGCACAGGGCCTGGAGTCAGGAAGATGCAGACGCTTACTAGCTGTGTGACCCTGGGCAAGGGTCACCGTGTTCCCCTCAGCTTCCTCATCTATAAATTAGCTGGCCAAGGCAATGACAAACCACTCCAGTATCTTTGCCAAGAAAACTCCAAATGGGGTCACAAAGAGTCGGACATGATTGAAAACGACCGAACTACAACAAAGAATGTATGCTCCTTCAGAGCAGAGATTGTTTCACTTTTTAATCTGTATGCCCACTGCCTACCACATAGTAGACTTTTAATAAATGTTTGTTGATTGACTGTGTTTTTAGTTCCAATTCATCTTTCTTTGAATACAGCCACTTTCTTTGCATAGGAGGTGGGGAAGGAAGATGTTATCTGCCATGGAAGGTTTGTTATCCTCTCTGAGCACATCATGAACTGAATGTTATCCATTAAACAGCCCTCATACTACTTTGTTGCACGCTGGTTGAGAAGCAATGCTCTAAAGTTTGTTTGTATTTTCTTTAAAGAATATCAAGAGTGGTAAATTTTTTCAAGTGTCACCTAAATATTTGTAAAATGGAATGCGAATCTGCTACCCTTAGGGGAATAATGTGCAGTTCACAAAAAAACATAAATTTTTAAGCCTTGCTGTTAAAACATTCAATGATGTCCCTAAGATTTTCTTAATAAATGTTTCACTTTATCAATTCAATTTAATTCAATTCAACATTTATTAAGTTCCTGTTCTGTGGAAGGAACTGTACTAGGTGTTAGGGATGAAGGTCAAGGTCTCTGTACTCCAGGAGATTAAATCCTAGTGGGGGAAACATCCTGTACCAACTGAGTAAATATAAAGAATATACAAAATAACAAATTTATTGAGAGAGGAAGAGAGTGCTAATACATGGAATGGGAGAACACTGATCAGGATAGCCTTTGTATAGTAGGGGGCTCCTTTTCATATGACTGGGTTGATAAAAATCTTTCTTTTTAAATAATACCAAATTACCTGGGCAAACATTTCAAATGAGTCTGATAGAAGACAACAGATCCTTGCTGTTTGATAGGATTTTTGTTTTACTCCTATGAGGACAGAAGAAGTCTTTACTGCAGTAACTAGGTGCTGGCTGAGCTACTTATAACCACACTTGTCAGCACTGCTGCCTCAGCATTCTCACAAGAATCTCCCAGATCTTTAAAATTCAGATATAAGATTTACTTGGGGAAGAAGTTCCTATATAGTCTCTCAGCATGGGAAATAAATAGCGGTTAGTTCTTCTTTCATTTCCTTTTTTTCCCCCTTCAAAATTTAGTGTATTTGTGTATGTATGTTTCTCATCCATGGGTTTTCACTGGCTTTTTATAGCTCTCATAACTATAATTTAGTTTCATTAAAAAAACAAATCTCAGTCACTTTGAATAAATGTGGACTGCAAAGTGGTGGAATTTTTGTGAAAAATGTAACTCTAGAAGACCTTAACCTCCTGGGCATGATATGTGAAAATGCTCATGAAATATTACTTTTTTCTAAGTGTATAATTTAAAACCTTTGGCTGATGACCAAATTCTACAGTAAATGAATAAAGATTTTCCTTCTCAACTATTTTTATATCTTATTTTTAAGAAAGAATATTCTCAATCCCAGGCTAGTCCACTTTAGGGGTATGAGTCAGTGCAGAAGCCCAAAGAACTAAATGCTTGAATGTTTGTGGATAGAACCATCTCAAATCTCTTGATGACATTTTAAAAATTACACATACCTTCAATTAAATTCCATGAAACCAATTTTCCCCTCAGAAAACATATTTCATTTATCAAAAGAAATTAATAGGCTAAGATAAATTCCATTATTTTATTGCTTAAAAAGCAGCATGAGACAGCATGGAATTAGAAAGGACTAGACTCTGAGTCAGAAAGTACTACTTCTCAGATGTCCTGGTAGTGTGACCCTGGACAAGTCCCTTCACTTTTCAGTGCTCCCAGTTAGCTCTCTAAAATGTAAATTGCAGGGGAGATTGCAATCTGCACTGGTAGAGGAAGGTGATCAGTGGGAGCTCCCTATATTTATGAAATTACAGGGAGAATAAAAAAAAACTGTTCAAAAGAAAAGATCAAGGGGTAACAAAGTTAACTTTCTATCTAGCAAGAGTTGACTTTGATGTAGCTTTGTCAGATTTGTAAAGCACTTTACATATATTGTCTCAAGTGACTGAACCACTCTAGGAAGCAGGTGATATTATCTCCATTTGGCAGATGATAAAACTGAGGCCCATAGAGGTTACATGACTTGTTCAGAGACACAGTGTAACTAAATGTTTGAAGATGTATTTGAACCCAGATCTTCCTGACTTCAAATCTAGTGATCTTTCTACAATAGGATACTTCATAGTACATAATTTATCTCCCTATTTCAAACATTACTCAATGCCAATAACCAGGAGATAATTTTAGAAAGCTAGAAGTCTAGCTCTGTCTTGAATGATTTTAATATACATATGAGAGATATCTTATCTGAAAAGAGCCTCAAACCTGAATGGTTCTTCTATATCAAATAAATTATCTTCTATATAGCTTCTAAATCTATATCTTCTATATATCTTATAAACTATTTTTCTAATAAATTCTAATAAAAATTAAACACATTGGGGTCTAATATTCTCTATTAAACAGGTGACTTTTTAATAACTTTAAAGAGTCACCACTCAATCAATTATGTGACTTTAATGAGGTGCCCAGTATAGAGAATTATCTGTGAAGATTGGCTTGTTTTCACCTCATGTTTTATTAAGAATACGTCTGACGGTTGTGTGGACTTTATCACAGAGATTCTACAAAGATATGAAAGCAGGCATATAATGTGGTGGTTGTTATCTAAGTAAAAAGAATTACAGAATCTCAGTGTTTTAAGGGAATTCTAAGGTCATTTAGTCCAAATCCCATTTTTTTTTAAGTAAAAGCACCAATCATGATGCTTGCCATTCTTTTGGAATCTTTCCCTTCTTAACATGATTTGAGAATTAATTCTTGAAGGTTTTTTAAAATTGTTACCTTCAGTAGATTCCTTCAAAAAAAAAAAGCCTTTGATTAGGTCTTCACTTAATCTTTTTTTTTTCACAATCTTCTTAAATGCCGTTGTCACTTCCCCACATATATTATGTATCAGTAATATTAGGTACCGAGGCAGTGTAGTTCAAATGTGGTGGTTCTACTATTGTTGCTCATGAAAATACAGCTAAAAATGTGAGCATTTCTGTTCCATTATACACCTGTTGTTCTCCTGTTTCATCCACAAATTCTCTCATGAAAAGTTGGCTTAGTTGTTCATACCACACTCTCAACAGGCTCATTTTCTCTTCAACCGTTTTTGTGATGTAATACTTCTTTTCCAAAGTGTTCTCCAGGTGAAATTGTATTCTAAAATGATATTGCTATTGACTGCCATTTTTCTCCACTAAGCAAGGAAATTATTTGTTTTTTGGGCTCTGCTGGCCTCCTTGATATGGTCATTATTTTATGTCAAACCTCTCTAGGAAATAATGGTAGTCGATGCCATTATTCCCACCCACATGCCCCTTTTTTGGGGGTTATTGACTGTTTAACTACAACAAACCTTGCTTTCTCACTTCCATCCCCCATCTTTTTAGTGTATGTACTGGAAGACTATGGTTTAGGAAATTTTGTTCTAGCTTAAAGTCACACCAAAGTTATCTCAGTAATTCATATTACATACCTCATTGTGATAACTATGAAACACTTGTGATTTCACTGGTATGATTATTCATTCTATAGTACTTCTACACTTTCTCATTCTTTGTAATTCTTGCCCATATTTCCCACAAATTTCTAAAAGATAATATACCTAATGCAATTGAT